CTCCTGGACACGCCCCTGAAATGGCACTATTTAGTTTAAAGTTGCATGGTTTTTAAGTGCGACCACTCTAGAGGGGGGATGCACTTAATCCATGAAGAAATAGTACTAATCATTAGTAAATTAATGTTGATTGGGCAATAGGAAACTAAGGAATTCTATTTTGTATTTTTATTTTAACTTCCAATCCTTTTTTTTATATTAGGCTGGTTTGTTGTCTGGAAAATGTTCTTAGTTCGTTTCTCATTCATCCGTGAACTTGTCTATGGCAGCAATGGAAACAATAACAAAAAGAGCAAAAGAAAAAGTTATAAYGAGCCAGAAACACCATTAAGRCGATCTTCACGAATTCGCCAAAAACTTCAAAGTCAGGAAAGTTGAGAAAACAGAACTAGTTATTTATAAACACTTACAGTCCAACTGCACATCTACAGCCCAATGTTGTACATTATGGCAGGACTTGTTGATATTCCTTGAAACACTCTTAGGACTAAGGATTCAAAGGCAAAGTCAAGATTCTTCACAAAGTTTATTGCGAATGGTGGAAATCATTTTGATTAAAGCTGGCATGGGCTGTTTCTTTTTATCACCACATTACAGATTTTTTTTTATTTTACAAACTTGTTTTAAGTGATTTATTTTAACAGTTATAGTGAATTTTCTGTATTGTTTTAAATGCATTTCTAATATTAGACTATATTTTTAACATACTTATAAACCTGGGGAACTTATAGCATATGAAATTATTGGATTTTAAAACCAATTTGGATGACGCTTTTATTAGAAGTTTAATGATCATTTTGATGAGAGTCGAGCTATGGTTTTATAATAATTTACAATTAAATTGTTAAGCTTTATTTTCTGAGAATCATACACGATAGATGGTAGTAAGTATTAGAAAATACATCTCTGTTTTATATGTAGGTAGCTATTTAATCTTGTAAATATGAACATTTGTGTGAACAAAGCAATTTCCAAAGCAATTTTGTTTGTATAAAAGCTATTTCAGAAAATGTTGAGTACTTTGAATACTGCATTCCAGAAACGCAAAAACATTTTTGGATGATAGCTACATTATAAAGTGAAAATTCTTAACTTGAATACTTATTTTTTTTGAAGTTTCTGACAAAACAGAGCTTGCATCTAGTCACTCTGAAACCCAACCTCCTGCAAAGCCGCCATATTTTGTCACACAAGGAAGTAGTGTTGCGTGATGACAYAGACAGCTGCTAAATGAGGCTATCTGAAACCACAGAACTCTATCCTTTTGAACAACAATAGCATGCAATGCATTTTGGTCATGCAATGCACTATCCTGGATCAGTATTTAGTGTATTCAAATGTTTTCTTAAATATACCTTATATAACATACCTAAAAGGTTTACATTTCCAGAACCTTGATGTCATCTGTGTGGGGACCATGCATGCTTAAAARCTAAAAGGAAATAATTGATGGCAAATGACAGATATGATAGTATTCCACTGAATGTTGTTCACTGAGKGATACAAAAAGGCTGAATCATCATTTAGAAATTAAAAATCACCCACGTTACTCTGTGCCACTAGCTTGTAGTCTTCCTGGATGACCAAGTAATCCAAGTAGAGTAAGCTCTAGAAATCCAGGGTTTCTTTATTTACCTAGAGACTATTCAAATTGCTCTGAGAAAATTTCTCTGCTGTATTTTACAGAACAAACATACAATAGTGTTATGTATATGTAAATATCATTAGCACCAGAGAGAAAAATCTCSTGTAATTGATTTATTTAAACAGCATACAAGTCCCAAGTGTAGCATCTGTTTCCATTGGTAAGAAGTTCAATAAAACAATAAAAAAGTAACATTCTTTTGAGTTCCATGTTACATTATTTAAAGTTTTTATATGAAATCAAAACCTTGTCATAATGAAATCCAGTCATTTCATCGACAGGTATTCACTGGTTGCATAATTAACTGAAACCCATGTTGTCACTCAGCAATTTGTCATGAGATTGTGTGACAGGGAATCTACACAAAAATGCTTTTTTAATCAAGYTTGCAGGCTAAACATGAATAAGTTTGGGAGTAGGTTTCAAAAAGCAGCCCAAGGATGCATGCAACATGTTAACTACATGTAGGCAGTAACTATGACAATGCAGTCCCTACAATGTTTCATAGGGATTATAGTAGCTTGATCTAGGCCGGTACAAAGGGCAGTTTAAGTTTCTAGTGGTGGGTTATGAGCCCTCATCAGGTTCAAACTCAACCAAGAACTTGAAGAAGCAGACCAAAAAAKCTCAAAGTAAGCTTTGTCCACAATGTGGCATGGAGCGGGAAAGTGCACACAAGGCAGATTAAGATTGAAATCTTGTACAAGTGTGAAATAGAATGTACCATGAAATGGTCACAGAAAGGAATGGTCTGTTTCATACATCTACAAAATCTGCACAAGTGTTTTATATCACTCATTTTCAAATCAACAGACAARAACACTACAAAATTCTCTTTTTTTCTTGCAGAGTCTTTTAATTCTAAGAACACCATATATCCATGTAACAACTAATTATATTTACAAGAAATTGAAATATCTGTACATAATCTAACAGCAATATTCATTTAAGTTGTAAATAGAAAAACTTAAAGATTATAGAAAAGTGATGGCAGTGAAGTATTAAGATAAATGAAGCCATAGCACACGACAAAATAAAATGATTTAACCATCTTGAAAGGTAGCCTTGGGATGGTGGCTTTACATCAAAAAATTTATTAATAATATGCACAAAAACACCTTTCATTGAAACCAGTATATAGAAAACCTTTCTTAAAAATTTCAAAACTGAACATTAAGAATAAACTTCTTCATGATTATCATTTAATATTTTTTACGGCATACTTTCAAGTACAGTTGAATCTCCACTTGTGGACGCTCTCGTAAGCGAAAGCTTTCTAAAACCCAAATTTTATATTTCTTTCATATAAACACTGTGTTCACACTTTCTATTAGGTGGACAGCTCTATACATGACCCTTCTTAGTTTCCCATGGATGTCGGCTTACAAGAGATTCAACTGTATTCAACAAGTTGCACATTATCAAGAACTAAAACCAGTTTATCAGCAGCAAACCAACTACTTAAAATATCAAAAAATCTATTCAACTCTTTGACAAAAGCTTAGTATTTTTAACCATCGGAAATAAATATTGAGTTTCCTGTCTAATCCTACAGCTACCAACCTTTATTTTCAGAGGTAAAGTTTACAATGGCCTTTCATGTGGAASGAGGGAATTGCAAACATGTATTTCTGCTGTAAATTAGGTTTACTAGAGACACCTAAGGTGGGGACACCTTTTATGCAGCAATGACATTTTTTGCACATACAGTGAAACCTCGTTAATTCGGCCACCAAACTAACATCGAAAAGCGCCCGCATTAACCGGGCAGAAAAGTATAGGAGTTAAATTGCAGTACATACTTATCGGGTGGTCGTAAGCGGGGTTACACTGTAAGTATTAAGCTTTCRGTAATATCTATTTTTTTCAAGTGAGTGACGTTTCCTCACAACAAGTCGCGTTCTGACTACGTAACGTTTTTAGATAAGAAATACAAACGATATTGCTTAGCTTTAGCATAAACTGCAATTTCAAAACGGCGTAAATCTTGTTGGCGTTAATGCGTTAATGAGCGTCAATAATCTACGTAAGCCATTGCGGAAATTCTTTACGATAACGCTAGTGTTTCGTACTACTATGAAAAGGCGACTAGCGAAAAAAATACACAAAAAGTTTCACGGGAACGCCCACAATATTTATCTAAATCGTTTCTTTCGCGTCATTTGTAATCGCGATACGAAGGTTAACATTTTCGAAAGTTGTCCACAGACGTCAAGTATARTACCATTGCATACCTTACGTAAAGTAATCTCCGCAGTTAATACCACATTATCTTGAAATAATTTCTGCTCTTCTAGGCGAACGCTGATCAAACAATGTTCACAATCGTTACGTCTCTACGTAAGCGCYACGGACTACGTATTCTAAGCGTTCTTCCCAATCAATCCGTACACTCTTGGCGTAAACCGACGATCTCATTGTTCTGGCTGTGCGTAACTGTTATACGGAATTGTCACGATTCACAGCGTAAATAATTAAGAATTTGTTTTTAATTTCACGACCTTGTGCAGTTCAATCGCAGCCTCTGAAACTGCCGAGGCAGCCGAAGCCATCTCTCTCATCGGAGAAACCGCTGAATACTGTAAAGCTGCCAGCTTAGTGCACTGGACAAGTCTTTTCGCACACTCGGACAACTTCGAAGTCACCGCAGTAATGTCATTACCAAGTTTATCGTGTGAAATCTTGCTTTGTAAAGTCTCACCGATGTAAATAAACTTATGTGCACTCAATACAACAAATTTACTGTTTGACACAAAGACTTTCGGTGGTTTGTTCTCGTCGATGGCTGCGAACAAAGACTTCATTGCCTCGTTAAGGACAAATAACTGCGCATCGATCTCGTACTTGTAAAATTCAAGAAGTTCTTTATCGCTGAACGAAAGAATGAAATTGTTCATACCATTTTCTCCAAAAGAAGGCTTAGGAGTCGGAGGCTTTGTTCGCGTGAAAGAYTTCGATCGGCCAATACGAATATCAGGTCTAGGATTTCCTTGGAATTCTTTTAAGCGTGGTGACAAGGGTGTGACGGTACACTGTCCGGTTGGCGAGCTCGGTAATGCTGAATCGGAACTATGAGAAGGTGAATATCCGATTGAGCGAGAAACTATAGTCTCTTCAGGCATAGATGCGCCTAAACCGTCAGACACTCGTTTGTCTCTGCGATTGTTATTCCCATCCTCAGCGATTCGCTCAATATCCGTCGGATCGGAGTTACACTTTCKTTTTTCCTTCGGGGAATCGGAACCCGGTAATCGTTCGCGGAACTTAACCGGTCGCTGCGTCGTCGCCTCGTCGTCCTCTCTTCCTCGATTCTTATAGCTCTTTCTCATGGTCGGCTTGCGGTCGAGTTTTGGCTTAGGGGGTGGGGCCGGGGGAACTTTGCTCTTGGGTGCGGCCTCACCATCAGGGGCGAAGCGCTCAAGACTCTTTTGTCGAACATGGTGAAGCCTTTCGCCACTGTCCTGCCTTGTCGGTGGTTTTGGTACAGTACTGTCTTTCGTGACGGAGTCGGATCTTCTTGGAGGCAGCATCGGGGTTTCTCCCTCGTCTTTTAGCGATGAACTAGAGTTGCTACTGAGTTGGCACAGACGTCGTACAGTCTCCGGACTAAACTTAGGGCCATCCCCTGGTTTGATGTTCGCGTCCACACTCGCCTTAATAAGACCAACCAACATCGTTGCCGAGTTCACTTCACTGCTTTCTGCTTCCATGGCTACTGGTTTGAACCGCTCGATCTTCGAYGACACTTCAGTGGACTTCTTYTCTTCCGTGGGGTGTTTATMAGACTTGGTGGACCGATCGACTGGAGGAGGTGGTTCTTCAGTGGTTATGGTTTCTTTCTTCTTTTGTTCGAGAGTGGTCGCGAAGTTTTCTTTAGGGAGYTTATGAGAAGTAGCCTCCGGGGTAATGGACTCTTCAGTGCGGGTGGGTTGCTCCTCGKTTTGTTCGCGAGGGGGCTCTAAGGGTTCTTTAGGGAGCCTATACAGTGATGTAGCCGCAGTTCTWATCACTGTTGCTAGTKTTTTAGAATCTTGAGGGACACTTTGCATGTAGGACATTATCATGTCGAGATCATCGTGTTSTTTGTCCTTTCGCTCACTCAACGGTGCCTTCCAATCAGTATCGTCCAGCCGCTGCAGAGTCAGTTTCAATGAATAGTACGTCTCCAAAAGCGGTTCAATTGCACGGCTYAACATTCCCGTCAAYTCTTGTTTACCAAGATTTCGCGAATTCACAAGAGTGCTTAATCCAAACTCCGTCAATAGACGGAGGACCGTTTTYGCCTTCCCYGCAATGTCCCGTATGTCRGCTACGTTGGCCCTCAGTAGGGTGGGGTCTCTCCACGTGCTCGTGACGAAACTAAGTAGCTTAGTAACCGTGACGTCAACGGCTTGYTCTAGTTTTGTCAATCTCTGAAGTGCGGCAGGAGGGTCTACTTTGATACCTTTCACCGCTGACATGTTAATTCGCTGTAAAATGCTGACCTTTGCTGGTTTCTTTGTTGGTGAAGAGGAATTTCCCTCGGTCGCAGGCGCAGGCTGAAATGAAAACACATACAGCRTTTGAAACCMTGAAMCGAACTAAGTAAATAAAAAAGTGGGCTGCTGTYGATACACCCCTACCCKTTGCAGTTTATGAAAATGCATTTTAGACAAACCTTCTGGTAYACACTTGCAATTGCTACGTTTTGTTTGATAASGCAGTATGTACATTCTAAAACAATATTTTTTCACTAGTGATATAAGCAGAGACAGTGAAGGAAACAGAAGATGTAAACCAGCCTATATTCATAACAATGTAACAGAGATAAGGTCACGAAGGATACTGACCGAGACAAAAAATGTTTGTGATTCCTTTTCCTTTACCACATCCGTATAACATTTGATTATTTTCACAATGGGAAACTTCCTTTCGACATTCTCTGTCTCCTTATAATTAAAAATAGAGGAAAACGGCCCTAAACGGCCATCTAAAGGCACAGGGAGTCCAAAATAAAGGGACAGAAGGATAAATAAAAGGACAGAAGCGCAACTTACTTGTACAGGAACGTCATAAAGATTGACAGGTTTGTTTCGACCGTATCCATAGATCTCCTGATAATCCACATAGTCGTCGTCTTCCGAGCTCACTTTCCCGCCGCTTCCAGTGCTACCGCCAGACGAGCGTTTCCCGCCRCTTCCACCAGAGCGACGTTTTGACCCACTCACTTCACTGGAACCAACACCAAGTGTTGACATACCTTTGTCACTAGAATCAGACCCAGGCCTTGARCTACTTCGATCACTTCCACCGGATCCACGTGATACTCCGCCCAGTTCGCTACTCACTCCAGAGCTACTTCTACTAGATTCGTCCGAAAGTCTATTCTTCTCCCAAACAGGYTGCTGTTGCCTCGGGACGTCRTAGATTTCTCCGTCCTGGTCCTGTAGCGCCATTTGTACGGTGTGAATGCTCGGAGGGACATCGTAAATGTCCTCAGGCGATACATCAGCGGTGGGTACGTCATAAATCTCTTCCCTRGGKGTACTCCCAGAGGAGTTATTTGAAGCTGTTCGGTTACGTAACGTTTTGTCTGCGTTAAGAGATGTAGAGCTGCCTGCTTTTTTAGTGACTTGCGAACTGTGCAATAAGTTATCTGWTTGGAAGTTTGGCGCTGATTTTGTATGCGAAATGGGTGTCTTGGTAGCAACGGGTACGTCGTAGACTTCTTGAGAAAGGAGGTTCATCTCCGGCCTTGGAGATCTTGGAGAAGTGGGTTTCGGGGGTCTCGGYGGAGGCGTCTGTTTTGGTTTCACAGCACTTTCTTTCTCTATTAAACTCTTCCGMGGAGGCTTCGCTTTGGGTGCTGATTTAGACGGTGATGTGGGTCCYACTTGATGTAACTGGGGTCCCTTAAAGAGTTCCTTCTGAGGTGACTGGGGSCCCCTTTGGGGTGATGGCGGTCGTTTTGGTGGAATCTTCTTCCCAGGAATTAGTAATGGTTCTGGCTTCATTTTCTCTGGTGTCRATGTCGGTACATCGTAAATCTCTTGGTAAATRTTATCAGCTGGTGAATCAGGTTYGGGGTTTTCCTCGTCTGGATATTCAAACTTAGGATCAGCCCTGGGAATRTCGTAATCCTGTGGGCTGAARACCGAACGAGGGACATCATAGTCCTCCCCRTTTTCCTCAAAAGGTCTGGGCACTGCATAATCTAGTTCATCAAAGCTAGGTGGACTCTTTATWGGCTCTGGTTCTTTTGGTATCTCAGTGAGACGGTTTCCAGGGGCAATRCCTTGGCGACCGTGCAGTGAGCACAGCCACCAGCCATACAAGCCATCGATGTCTTTCTCAAGGACTGTGATGACGTCACCTTTACGGAATGTCAGCTCATCTTCGTTATCAGCTATGTTATCGTAAAGTGCTTTTGCCAGCACAGTCTGAAACAGAACAGAAACATGGTGAAAACAGGGCTACTGAATACCACCCAAAAAATGTCAAAATCAAACTGTAGTGGGGGGGGGGGGAGGGGAGGGAAGTGGGTGTCCAATAGCGGTGTCTTCATGTGTTTTTCGTGTGCACTAAGTCGCTTCACTTCGTTTTATTCCCAGCCCACCCTCCTCTTTGGTAAGTATATGGCGTAGGATCAATGTGACTTTCTGCTCACGTCCGGTGGCGCCCCGGCATGACCAATTTTTAGGTACCATTGATTCCATACTCATCTAAGCCGATGAGTTTAGGACACTGTTTTGGCTAGTATTTATTCACGCTTTTGGCGTTTGCACTTTATAGTAAATGCACTCTATAGCTTGAAAATAGTCATTGGGCTATGACGTAAATGCTGGAAAASCTTGTACGTTTTTGCAGTTAGGCTTTGGATCATGATTACTTGACATAAAAATCAGTCTAAAACAGCAAATATTTGCAGTAAACCTTAGGTAGTTCAACTGTGTTATTTGGGTACTTTCCAAGATTTTCGTTGATAACGCCTTAACACGTCCCACCGAAAATGTTCTCATATTGGAGCAGCAAGTACAATGCCAACCAATTTGCCATTCTCACGTCCGCGCTTATGCACTTCGATGCGCGCCAAAATTTTGGCGCCAACCGGGAGTAAAAATTCACTTCCAATTGACGTCGGCGCCTCAAAAATCTAATGCCAACGAAATACACTTTAAGTTTGGGCTGCACTCCTCATGCAGCCAAGCTGAAAAAGAATTGATGTAATTCTAAGCTACCATGTTGAAAGAATGGTTTTTGACCTGTATGTCTTCACATTACAAGTATTTCACTTAATGCATTTCTAAAAAAACTGTTATGATCTGAATGACACTAACTAGACACTGGCATTAGAAGAGGGTCCCGCAGGAGTGAAATGTTGGAGGTGTGATTTCACTTCTTCAGGAATGGGAAATGGCACTGGGACAAGTAAATGAAAATGGGAATAAAATTTGAGAAATAATCATGGAATTGGCATATTGACTTTTAAAAAATCTAATTGATTATTAATTAAATTAAATTAATCAAATTAAATTAGTTATTATTAATCTTTTCTTATAAAAATCTGAACTTAATAGTAAATGGTACAGCAAAAAGACTTATTATCATATATAGATTTATGAGAAATAAAGATTATTATACATTGAATTTTAATAGATAATTTTATTAATTAAAAATTACAACGTCTAAAACATCAACATCATATTGTTATTATCATAATCATCATCATCATCATTATTTTGGGCTAAATTTTACAATAGACTTATCTATCAGAAGTGTTTTTTAACACTTTAAAATGGTCCAATGATGACTCATCTAGTTATTAGCAAAGGCCTTTTTGTAATTCATTGGCTTATCGTTTTTCAGATACTTTTTACATCAGTAACATTATCATTATTATAAAACAACATTCTTATGTTAGGCCCAAAATCCCTACCTTCATTTAGACAAAAAACAATAATGAGAAACTGTGGTCAAAGTAATAAAAGCTTCATCAATAAAAACAAGATTCTGTGGTTTGACCTCCATCTGCCAAAATATCTATTGAATTACAGGAGATAAGGAGAGAAATTTCATGCTTTAAAAGGCCCATTAGGGGGTCACGAAAATTATAAAAAAATATGTTAAACATTTTTGTTAACAAATGATATATAATAAGTTATTTCTTATGCTTATCTTAAATTCTTATTATCATAATTTAGTTTTTAAAAGCCATAATGGAAAAAACTCATTTATTTTTTCTTTCACATGTTCCCTTATCACAAGCATTTCATGGTATCTTCTAAGGCTGAATTGCACAACTATTTTCATCGCATAATATACAATATTATCCATCATAAGCTACATTTCTAACTTTTTTACCTATATTTCTTTTTTCTACTCGTGAAAAGAGCAATACYGTGGTAAGTCAGTCATTTGTGCTCCTACAATTATTTTTTTAATTACCATGGACATAGCTATTTAGTGGAGATGGTTTTCTTCATCGAATATTATACAAGATCTGTGATGCAAATTGATTTGAAATTAGTACTGGAGAAATGGTTGGTGAGAATAATAGATTGGACAATGGACTTGATCTATTTCTAACGACACCCAAGTATTATAAGAACTTAGTCTAACTTACACTCTTGAAGGTACTAAGATACTATTGAATAAGACAGTTCACTGCATTGTTTGATGTTAACTCATTTTAACAACCATTATAATTCAGAAAGTAGTTATTCAATTCAAACATATTATACATGATTCCATTAAAAAATACCACCACAAAGTTATTTGCATAAAAATTGTTTTAAAGATTTGCGGAAATCATTTTAATATTTGAAACTCCAGTACACACAGCAAATCTGGTTATTGTCACTGTAATATACTTGTGTTTTGAGTTCAGTTCAGTTAAAAAGTTTAAATATTCTTCCAAAAATATGAGATGAAAAATTATTGTAACTAAATATTTCAAAAAATAAAGAAATTTTATAGTAAATGCCTTTTGTTGTGGTCTGAACAGATTAATGGGATTAACTGTATCAGTAATAAAACATTGAAAATACACAAAWGAAATATAGTACCATAAGATATTTGATATTTGCCCGGGCTTGTAAAATTGAAGTAAAATAAAGAATTGAYTTAGACAGTAACCTAGACATTAAAATATTTGAATGAGGTCARATGCCAATCAAATTCTAGTTCGCTGTTTGTTAATGAATGGTTTATAAATAAACATAAATTCCTATTCAAAATTATCATTCTTTAGGCAAAACCTTTACTGAGAAAACTTTGATATGAATAGGCTACAAGGCATAATAACCACAATTTTGATAACATTAATTCAACATTACATTCATTCATTTATATCTTATGAAATATTAGAGATATAACATTCACTCTGATTGACTGGGGTCTCTAGTTATGTCAGTGTTCAGAGACATTGTCTGCCAAACAGTCACTCTAAGGACATATATATTTTGAGAAAAATTATAAGATGACTGCTTGTGATGTACTCTGGTATAAACATTTATGGATTATAAAGGGCACTCTAAAAGTAAAAAGAACATGGRACACGTTTCTTGTTGCTAATTCTCTTTTGCTTATTAATTTAAAATCCCCTGCTGAGTTTAATATAATAAAAAAAAATTCATAGCTGGTTTTCAATCATTCTATTAAGATTAATGTTAGAAGACAAAAGCTTTCTGAACACATTGGCAACAACAACAACAAATACTAATTACTGGAAATCTTTTGTGTAAGTACCATCAACATGGCTTCAGTGAAAATAAACTGAAAATCAGATTATATTGGCATGTATAAAGTTACTTAATTAGTAGCTGGGTTACAATTATTCTCTTGAGATTACTGTAAAATACAAAGGCTTTCTGAACATTTTGGCAACAACAACAGATGCTAATTACTGGAAATCTTTTTGTAAGTACCATCAACATGGCTTCAGTGAAAATAAACTGAAAACCAGATATATATATGGTCATGTGTAAATTGTTTAGGAAGTTTGAAATTACAAGGAATTTTATTCAAAATAAGTAAAATATTCATAGCAAGAAGGATACCATACGTGTGTGGTTGATAAGTACAGGTTTTTTAGTTCAAGCCACAATTTCAAGGCTAAGAAATTAACTATTCCCACTGATCGGCAGATAACAGATTGGCAAGACCCACAACTACATGACAATAAAACATGAAGATGGAATTTGAAACACTATTTATAATGATCTTTGCCTGTGGCTTAGATGTTGAATCTAGATAAATGGATAAGTCAAGGGAACAGTCTTTTTTGTAAAATACAACACTGATGGATGTCTATGTTAAACAAGACTAAAATGGAATGAAATTGATTTTGCTTATTATTACTCAGCCAGAGGCAAAATAATTTAATTTCAAAACATGAAGAAATCAATAAGTTAAAACAACAAAGGAGAGGGAAATGAAGGAATAACAGAAAAGCTATGAAAAATAAAAACATGAAGTGAAGTAAAGATTTGCAAGGAAGAGAACAAAGAAATGAAAGACAAGCATTATAATAAAAAATAAAAAAGGGTTTCAGAATGAACAGACTAATGAAAAGAAGAAGAAAAATGAATATTGGAAAAAAGAGGAAAGAGAGAAAAAGACAAAGGAAACAAAAAATAAATATGTAAAAAATTAAATGAAGAGAGAAGGAAAGAATGATTTCAAATAAACAGAAACAAAAAAAAACCAATATTGAGCAAAAAATACTATAAATACATGGAAAGTTTCTGATAAAACAAAAATATTTCAAATTATTATAGCTATTAATTACCACAATTACAGTGTGTTACTCCAGGCTTGAAATATCAAAACAAGACTGAAATACTTTGTGAATTATGAAATATTAATTAAATAACAATAGAAAAGCAGTAAATAAAGTTAAGATGCTGTACACAAAGGACAAAGAATCAAGAAGAATACAGAGAATAATATTCAACTGATTTGAAGCCATGGTAGAAAATTCTTCATAGTTTTTTTTAATAAAATGACTTATTCACATGTCTATTTGCTTTATATGAAGTAAAGCACACTCGGTTAAGCTGCCACAGTACTAATATTTTGCGAAAGATAATTATTTTACAAAAGGTGTTAAGAAAAATATGCATATAACAGTATAATAATAAACAAAGGATATAAATAGAACAATATGTTGTAAGTATAAACGTACATTCATATTAATATAATCAAGATATCTATATTTCCAGACCTGCTCTAGGAAAATAAGATCATATCATATCATTTAATGGATTAAAGTTCTGTGAAAATAATAAAGTGAAATTTGTAATTTTCAAGGAATGTAGCTAATAAATCGAATGTTTGATCAAATGGCATTCTAATTGAATTGTGCAGCAATCAACCCATTGTTAATTTCAAAACAAACTAAGTACTAATAAATAAATAGCTAGATTTAAATGTAAATGGAGTAAAAAATATAAAAACTTTTCAAGATAACTTTCACAAATACTCAAGATCAGATCTACAGATCAGTAAATTGTATCCGGTGTATGAGATCGATTGTATTCAATTCCAAATGACTCGAATTCCATAACATAAGTTCTTATTGAACATAGTCATAGTTCAACATGCATCACGCTATTTTATTAATCCCATGAAAGGAAATACTAGACAAAATCCCATGTTTTGTCTATATAAACACCTTGACCACGTTGCCTCGCTACATCGTCCCTTGGGGAATTAGAAATTTTTGAACAAGCGCTTGAAATCTTAGCGAATTTGTACTAGTCTAGAGTACGTGTACATAACACACGATACTTACAAAAACAAGATGCGAAAACAACCTAAAACCTACTTATTTTCAAATGCTTGAATGTTAAGCGGGGATTATAAGAGTCCACATGGTTTATAAGTCTGTTTACAAGTATAATGTCGGCATGTGTCTTCGTATAAAAAAAGACACAGATATGCWAATGTGCGAACAGAGAAAGAGCAAATTCAATTCAGCTGGTTAACAGATCACCGAGTTATTTAACTTTAAATTGGTCAAATGAGTACTCATAAAAACTCCAAACTAGCTATTTGGGTGGCAATGATTTTGTAAAATAACTACGTATCAACTTTCCCAGGAATAATATCTCAGTTGTTGTGGTCTGTGTATAGATTATTTTGAGCAAGTTCGAGGTGATATCGCATTTTTATCGGTGAGAGCTGTCAAGTTTATGAAGTCGTGTCAATGCTCAAGAAACCTACACTTCTGCGCAGGAAGAAATCCATCTAGTTTTGAGCTTAAAGTTTTCGCATGTTTACTTTCGTTTTACTACTTTTAACTTCCCAAACACAGAAAGCCGCGAAACTTAGTTTTTATAACCTCTTTCACCTTATCTCGACAGTTTCTACGTGTTATTTAGTGAAGTCGCTTTTGCAGACACAACACGTAATCTAATTTATCCAAAATTGTCGTATTTTTGCATGAATAATGTTCAAAACAGCAGCAAACCTTACCGGTACGCTCATAATAATGTTCCCCTTCATGGAAAAAAGCCCCAACAGTAAGTATAATTGAAGAATTGTAGTCTGTTACTGAAAATGATCGTCAACGTGGAGCGACCAGCCACATTCCGATGGATCGTTTGAACAACAATTACACCACAAAACTAGCTCATACAATTCTTCTAGTTCTTGGCAAGCATACAACGTCCAAGAGGCGACAGTAATTGTCCCATTTAACATGCTTAGATCAACAATATGGAACAAAAGCAAGCCATTAATTCAAAAGCTACGGTTTAATGAGCTCACACAAAGCGAGCAGTCAACAATCATACCTGCATCGTTGTCAGAACTGTTCACAATTTGGAGCCAATTTCAACCACAATTTCCTGAATCCCTATTTCGTGAGATTCCCTCCATGGGAAAGACTTCTGTTGAACGAAGAGCAAACTCCTTAATATCAAATAACGGGCGAAAAATAACTAATTTTGATCTGAGATGAAAGATGTGACGGCGCTTCGCAAACACTGCATTACAACAATAGATTCGACATGACGTCAGTTTAGGGACCGCACCTCATCCATGGTGTACTATTACGACTCTCGCCCACAACTTCCGATCTCATCATTTTGACAAAACGGGTTTTTATTTACTCTTCAAAGCTTAAACAGACGATTGTGCTTAGTTTTAAGACATATTGGATACCGCGAGAGTCTTACTATCCGGGGAGAACCAGGGATGGGTCAATCTTGCGAGGAAAAAACGGATAAAATTTGGAGACAAGTTAAGCTTCGGTGATGCAAGTACAGGAAGTAACCTTGACACCCATAATGTAATGATCGTTTAGCTGGAGCTAAATATAATTAGTMTTAATCACTTATCATGAAAAAGGCAATTCAGATAATAAACTTAAAAAAAATTACGATTAAAAAAATATTTTGCTCCAAGAATATTTCGTTTCTCATTTTTCAATTGAGCTTTTGATTACAAAAATCGGAAATGCAACTGGCAAAAATTGATCATACTTTGCAATGATACAGGAAACATAGATTAGTACGGGCTCAACTCTTTTTCACAAGTTATCAAAGGAACTTCAGGAAACTTATAGCTGGAGCAAGGAAATGAATATTTCCACTTTTGAAAAGCGAGCTTCAGCGAACGTGAGGCCAATACTTACTGTTGCGGAACAAGTTCACAAAAGTTTTTCGTGTCACATGCAGAATCATCGATGCATWTGCCGAAGAGTTGAGGGCAACATATTCGAGCCTGGGGACGTATCTCTACTCTAAGTATTAAACATAGTGAATGTCTACTAAATTTCTGAGAAATATTTCCATCATTATGAAATATTTTCCAGTTGTTGACTAATGACATAATGACGTATCTAGTGCTAAAATTAASATGCCATTATTTTTATTTATTATTATCTTTTACTTGTTTTGAATACTCGGGATAAACATAGACAAAGACAATTCTGGAGAAAAGTGAATAAACTATTCGAAGTCTATATTATTTCTGTTGTCGCAAAGTAGATCAGTCCGTCTGGAAGGAAGGAAAGATTAATAAGAAAGAGTATTTGGTATAATAATAGATTTTTAATGACTTTTTCTAAATTGTCTTATTTATTGCTTGAAGAGGAAATTAACTCATGAATKAACATTTCCTTTTTTAGAATTTCTGCTAAAAAATAATAAAAAATCATAGTAAATTGAAATTTTAGTATAACGCTATTGGGTAGGAAAGATTATTTTTTTCCATAAATTTTACTATTTCTTGAAGGTTACTGCTAGTACATTATTTCTTTATAAAGACATATGATACAGGCCGTCCTTTTTTATAAAAGTTAGAATCGCACGTAGTGCATCTGGAATAAAAAAACTCTTGACGTTGAATATAAAAATCCATCCTTTTTTGGTATTTCTTTAGAAGTAAATATGAAAAACTATTACATCTAATTTTCTGACTTCTCAGATTCTGGTTCATTTAATATGTTTATGTCGYGTTTTGTGTCGTTCTTGTTCTTGGCATCGTCTTTAATGGCCATTTCATTCATCATAACTGAAAAATACAAAACAGAGAAAATTAGTCGTTTGCTGCGGCGCGCGCGCGCGCGATTGTTTTGGCGGGAAAACGGAAGACGACATATTTATCTGGGTTAAGAGTTAACAGATTTTGGTAAGCAAAATCAAAATTATGTATATATAAGTCGACGGGAGACAAAACGGCGCGAGGAAAATTGCTGATCGCGGAGTTTGGCGTCGATGCATGATTCTCGTTTTAATTTTCACACGTCTAAAAGCAATGCCAACTTGATGCTTCGCAAAAAGAAAGCACTGGTGACGTGAAAAAAAACAGAAACACTACTTTGTTTTACACCGCGAATCGACAAAGTTAGTAAAGCTGCTTTTCGTGTATTTACAATCTATAAAATCACCTTCGTCGCCGACAACTTCACGGGTTGGCATTCCCCTTGTTTCTGGTAAAATTATACAACTAAAAGCAGCGAGGAATGTTCCAGCTCCCATTAAAGTAAASGGTAGAATAGCACTGATACGAGACATTTGKACCACAAACGGCGACGCTGCAGCTCCTATACGGCTAGTTATGGTCAGCAAACCCATGCCTGTGTTCCTGTAAACAAGAAAACTTTCTAACTGTTAGCTAACTGTTTGATAAAAGCAAGGTCTAATATGTAGGAAAGACGAGAATGAGATGGGAAAGAAAGATAATAGAAAAGGAAGGAAGGAAACTGATCAAAAGTATAGAAAATCGGAGGAAACGCAAAAAATGACGGAGGGAAATCAGTATGGATAATTTTAAAAACTTGAATACAATTCATTAGTAATTCAACGTTTGCAAATTAGGGTTCCCCTCAGAAGTACATATGTTATGTACTTCTGGTTCCCCTACAATTCAAATCGGTCTCAGATCGACCAGTYCCATTGTCGACTCCGATGAAATATTGAAAAAAGTAAATGATATCATACCTGACAACAGTTGGAAAGATTTCTGCGGACCAGATATAAATAGCATTGAAGGAAACAGTGATGAACAGCTTGCCAAGAGAACCCAGCGTCACTCGACCAACTATAAATCCTGAAAAATTGAAATTCTATTAATCCTACTATATCTAAAGGCGCAGGCATACTTATTTCCGCTATTTTAAACACATGGAACCCAAGCAATGATTTTGAGTCTACAATTGGTAAAATATTTACTTTTCATAATGGTTTACTTTTATTTCATTAAACCTTATTAATGTTTTTTAAAAAATATTCCCTCCCTATACAAGGAAAACCTATTATGTTTAAAAAACTTAAACAAAATAAGTAAACCAATGGGCTTCCTGTGTATTCAATGYACATTCCCAGGAGCAATGGATTGGTACGAGTYGTAAATCGACGTCACCCAATCAAATACCTGTATTGTCCGTTCCTGAAGGTATAAAAGACACAGCAATGCAACAAATGGCGCCAGCTATAAAGTGACCAATCACTGTCTTCTTYCGACCAAACCTGKKGACGTAACATATCAATGCATCAAATCACYGCAAACCATCCTCCATAGCCTATAGCCTATTACAAATTGTAATAGTATTACAAWAAAAATACTACCATCAATACACCTCTGAAAAGCTTCTACRTAACTTATTTGCAATATACATTGTGGGATTGATTTCTGGCAAAAACAAAAGAAATCCGCCATGTTTTGTCCCAAACATATCCCACAATTCATTGTGCRTATGACGTAAAAGCTTCATAGGTCTATTACGTTAACTCTTGGATTGGAAACAAATTCRGAAAAAWAATYCGACCTCAATTAGGATTCMAACCCAGGGCCACCGATTTTGTGCTGYCGGCGCTCTACTAGCTGATCAACAGATCRCGAACTGGGAGCAAGCCGTGATTCTCCTATTCTATTCGTAAARGAACTMAGSTGRTTAAGGCATATTAGTGGAAGTGACTTGATTCTGAGCTGAAGCATTAAGGTTACCAAAAATCACATTAWCAGCTTACCGATTTGAGTTGTCGATGACCAGGTAATTTCCTGGAATCTCTACAAGACTGGTCACGACAAAGTTCAGGTAAATACTCCCTCCTAATTCACCAGAACTCAATGATACACCATAATATACCATACCATTTATAAACCTAACGAAGAGACACAACACAAAGTCGTTGAACAAAAAAATAGATATAAGTMTTTGAGATATTTATTGTTTGTCTGTTTGCATGTTTTGGYATGTCGGTTTGCTAGACAGCTGTTGACTGGATTGCTTAGATAGTTGTTTATTCAGTTAGCTCTATGGCTCGTTTTGCTTATTAGTTGCTCAGGTTTTTTAATGCATCCATAATGTATACATACCACGCATAGCACTGTACAAGAGTCATCAGTGCCATTTTTCTGCCGCGAAAAAGCTCCAAGAAACCTTTAGAGTCATGAGATGCTGGGACCGCAAGGTCGTCTGTTGGCATTTCTTTCTTATTAACTTTAGCCACATTAGTAAGAATATTCAGAGCTTGTTCCTTTTTACCATGAACGAGAAGCCAACGAACAGACTCGGGAACAAACCTATTGATAGCGATTGCTAGAATCACTGTAGTTCATACTTCATATTTTGTTGCTACTGCTGCTGCTTCTGCTACTGCTAATACTGCTGCTGCTGCTGCTGCTGCTGCTGCTGCTAATTCTGTTGCTGCTGCTAATTCTGTTGCTACTGCTACTACTAATACTGCTGCTACTGCTACTGCTATTACTGTTTCTGCTACTGCTACTGCTAATTCCGTTGCTGATATTGCTACTGCTAATTCTGTTTCTGCTACTGCTAATACTGCTGCTGCTACTAATGCTTCTACTGTTGCTGACACTCCTGCTGCTGTGCTGCTACTGCTACTGCTACTACTGCTGCTACTGCTGCTGCTACTGCTACTGCTGCTGCTGCTGCTGTCACTGCTGCTACTAGTGCTGCTACTGCTGTTGCTGCTGCTACTGCTGTCACTGCTGCTACTAGTGCTGCTGCTACTGCTACTGCTACTGCTGCTGCTACTGCTGCCACTGCTGCTAATGCTACTGCTGCTACTACTACTACTGCTACTGCTGCTGCTGCTGTGCTGCTACTACTGCTGCTGCTACTGCTTCTAGTGTTGCTGCCACTCCTGATGCTGTGCTGCTACTGCTGCTGCTTCTAATGTTGCTGCTACTGCTGCTGCTGCTGCGCCAGTGAGCTGCTTAAAATTCGCATTACTCCTACTATTGCTACGTCTTGAACTGCTGCCGTTGTTACTGCTGTTAGTGCTGCTTCTACTACTACACTCTTAAATGCCCAGTATCACCCTAGTTACTTTACGACCGTTCGTTTTGTTATGAGTGCTTGTTTTTGATTGGTCGGATTAGACATCCAAGCTTTGAAACTTGAGGTGCCAATGTTAATTTTTATTTCTTGCTTCCTTGAAGGCCAAGAAAATTTATAAAAGCTACATGTCARCCTCTCAATAGCCTGAAATAGCCGTCAAAACTATTTCATGCAAAACGAAATTAAAACAAGTCTCGCAAAGCATCAAGCTCACCYTATTCTGAAGTTCAGTTTAAAAMCTGACAAGCATGACRAACTTGCGAAAGAAAGGGAAAAGCACGGGAACCAAAGCTCTCCTTACCCCTCCCTCCCCTCGTATTAGCGCCGTCTTTTAAAATTACCATATAAAACATGCTGCAGTTCAGTTTGCTTAAAATGAGACGAACTTATCGCYTAAAATCAGCAAAACTGCTACTATTGATTATACAACCAAGATAGCAACCACGATATCTCACCTTAGAACAGTAAATCTAAACCTAATCTTACTGCTTACGTTAAATTTCTAAGATTTCTGAGACAGTTGAACGTGTGTGTTGAAAAGCAAGAAGAAAAATACAGTATTAAAGTGAGCTATTGAAAACATACAATGTCCCAACAACTTGATAGCAGGACGGTAATGCTCAATCATCTTTCTCGGTATTTTCGCCATAACACCGGGCAGGGTATCCGTAATAGCGGGTTGCCCGTAATAGCGAGGTGTCTGTAGGACGAACCTGAGTGTGGCGTTTGGTATGTTACTACTAGTGATAGTGTTTAGCTCTTGGAATCCATGCATGACCATTTAGACCCACCTATCAATCAAATGACCGAAAACTCGCAAAAACAAGAAAACTCTTTGGCTGAACACTAACTCATTTGATTTGGGCTAAACTAGTGTGCGGTTGGGTTAAAAAGACATCATATTTTGATCCTTATATTTCGCCTATTTGAATCAAATATCGCCAAAGAAAATTGGAAACTGACTGACAAGATGATAAAACTCCTGATTTTGTTGATGGCTTTGAGCAGTTGGCTCACTTTGGGCTTGCCTTCAAATGGTATGTTATGAAAATGTTGTAACGTTTTTTTTCACTGATTTCTTTTATCATTCATATACTTTTATCTAGAAAAAACATTCTTACAGAAAAATAGAACTTTGATATTTTATTGCAATAGGAATAACTTAAAAGACAAAAGAAAMTATAAACCCAGKCTCAACGCTTTTCATTGTCTTTTTAACATTTTCAAATTAAAAACGTTATCGAGTGCTTTCAGAAAAAGSACGCAACACTCATTACTAAATTGTGCAAAATAGTGCTARTTGAACAAATGAAAACGAAAGAATAAGAATAAAAGAGTACGAAATATTATCATTAATTTTTCACGCTTTCACTAAAAGTCCTCTATTTCTTTAGGACAACGTTTTTGTAATTAGGTTTAACTCAAGTTATCACTAATTCATCTTTTGAAATACCATTCGAAAATATAACTAACATTCAAGTATAACGAATAAAGTATTGAACAAGATTGTAATGTAGACATTCGCAATACGCAATGACTGATAAAAATCATGTGTTTATATTGTAGGTATGATTCAGCAAGATTCCGGCAAGAAGGGTGATGAGGATATTCTCAATCACTCCATCTGTAGCCATCTCAGAGAAAAAGATATGTGCAAGAGAAGCCATCACGTTAAGAAAAAACTGTGTAAAGCCACATGTGGTACGTACTTATTTTTTATTTACCTTGCATGATTTTCCTTTTTGTCATGATATTTTATACAAATTAAATTATATCAAATTTGGCGATAACTATACTAGGGGTTCGGCGGGTTATGAGCACTTCCATGCTAAACTTAAAAATCGATTAGTGTTTGTTGGTTTTCGAATATATATATCTTTCTTAAATTCCCAAGTTATGATATTCAGCGTGTCTTTAGTACATAATCAAGCTGCATTCTACCAAAATGAAACCTAATCTGTTGTCTCACAAAAATCACAGCTGCTTTTGATTTCGTTGTTGGAGGAAACTAGATTTTTTTCAGCACACTTTAAGAAAGGAGTCATCGTTTTAGGAAAAGAGGAAATTATTTCCAGTAATCGTAAGAGGGTAGCCCTTCAAGGTTTCTCAAGATCTTATCCGATTGGTTTACAAGCTATTTGTTAAATAAAAGAAATCAATAGGATTTAAGAACGAGGAAACAATGATCATTGTTTTATTCCTCCAATCACAAGAAACCTCACAAACTCTTGACAGAAGCACAAAGCTTTAGGAACAACAAGCCATGTTATGCTACTTAGCGGTATTTTTAACTGTTTTGGTTCACTTGTAGGTTGTGATGACATGATCTCACAGAAATCGTGTATCGTCCTGAAAAGATCCAATGAATGCTCCAAAAACTTGGCAATGCGCATGCGTTATTGCAAGTCGACATGTGGATTGTGTTGTGAGTAAAACTTACTTCAATTAAATCGAATGTCGATCGAGAAAAGTCTATTGTCATTTGGTGTGGAAAGTTAAAAATAAGCCCAAAATGTGATATTTAAATAACGCGCAATTCTATATAAGGTCAATTCTATCAAAAACCTATGCATTATACATAGATCTGATAAGACGTTTATCAGAAATGAAGGTCCATGATCTAGCAAGAGTATCAACTGACCAATGCAGTGTTTCAACCGATACCAGTACTTCGCTTTTTAAACTTTACTTACATAAGAAAGGCCGTATCCTTAGGGCCTGCGCAATATTTATCARGCAAAATCTAATTTTACGTTCTTTAAGAGGAGGGAGAACTTTAATTGGAAACTGAAAAATCAACGGTGTCAGATTCTGTGCTTTTTGACCAAAGACTTRTTGAAGTGGAAAAGTAGAAAAGCGTGCCACGATTTGCGACAACTCTTTATTCGCAATAACAAATAAATAAATTCAGGGGGGGCAGAGCATGATTGATTTTGTTTGCGGAGCTGAAAGATGCATTATTACTTGCCGCGGTAAATTTCGCATCTAGTCTGACGGGCTATTGACGGCATGAAAATCGATGGTTTTTCCTATATCTAAAATATATGAACCTTTATGTGTGATTTAAAATGTTAAGTAGTTTTCATTTCACAAATGATGAATGTTTATCATTCWTAGCGCACTGCACTGCAACAGCACTTGGGATGCAGAGTAGAGCCATTCCTGACTCAAGCATCACCGCATCTACGTATCATGCYAAGGGCTATGAACCACAACWAGSACGACTTCACATTARGTCWTCYCGTGGYAAGKMTGGATCATGGGCTGCAAAAACGYCACGAGCCGGAGAMTGGCTCCAAGTCGATTTGGGCAAGGTTACCAGAGTTCAAGGTGTCGCAACCCAAGGTCGATACGATGATAACCAATGGGTGARAAGCTACACCCTGCAATACAGCAACAATGGCAAAACCTTCAAGAAATACCAGGGAGGAAAAGTGTTCAAAGGAAACAGTGACAGACACACCGTTGTCAAGCATAATCTAAATCCCCCGATTTATGCCAGGTACATCAGGGTAGTAGCCAAGACATGGTATGGTTGGGTGTCAATGAGAATGGAGCTGTATGGGTGCAACAACTGAGGTAAAATCACAATTTATCATTGTTCATTGCCTCTTGATGTCGTTCAGACATGTCGTTAGACATCATCCACTAACTCGCCGTTTTATAAAATCCATGAACAATGAATAATGTATGAATAGTTTATTTTAGGTTTAAATGGATCGAAACTATAGTCTCCATATCTCAATGATTTCTACATCTCTCCACTAGTCGAACGTTTATAACCCCCTTCCCCCTTTCAAAAAAATCCTGAATCCGTCCCTATTACTGCTACCAATGTTGAGGCCAATTGTTCATAATGCGTTCCTAAATTAAATGCTTGACTAAATTAGTTCAATGCACAGTATAGTGTGTAAGAACTGGCTGCAAGAATGAGCGATTCATACAAATTACTATCTCATAAACAGTTCATAAAAAAGAATTTTAAAATAGAACAATAGTAAAAGAGAATAGGTATGATTCAGCAAGATTCCAGCAAGAAGGGTGATGGGGATATTCTCAATCACTCCATCTGTAGCCATCTGAGAGAAAAAGATATGTGCAAGAGAAGCCATCACGTTAAGAAAAAACTGTGTAAAGCCACATGTGGTACGTACTTATTTTTTATTTACCTTGCATGATTTTCCTTTTTGTCATGATATTTTAAACAAATTAAATTATATCAAATTTGTCGATAACTATACTAGGGGTTCGGCGGGTTATGAGCACTAAACTTAAAAATCGATTAGTGTTTGTTGGTTTTCGAATATATATATCTTTCTTAAATTCCCAAGTTATGATATTCAGCGCGTCTTTAGTACATAATCAAGCTGCCATTCTACCAAAATGAAACCCAATCTGTTGTCTCACAAAATCACAGCTGCTTTTCATTTCGGAAACTAGATTTTTTTCAGCACACTTTAAGAAGGGAGTCATCGTTTTAGGAAAAGAGTAMATTATTTCCAGTAATCATAAGACTAGGGTGGCCCTTCATGGTTTCTCAATATCTTATCTAATTGGTTTACTAGATGTTTGTTGAATAAAAGAAAACAATAGGTTTTAAGAACGGGAAACAATGAGCATTGTTTTATTCCTCCAATCACAAGAAACCTTAGAAATAGGCAAGAGAGGCACAAAGCTTTAAGGGACAACGAACCATGATATGCTACGTAGCGGTGTTTTTAACAGTTCTTGTGTTCAATTGTAGGTTGTGATGACATCATCTCCCAGAAATCGTGTATCGTCCTGAAACGATTGAATGAATGCTCCAAAAACTTGGCAATGCGCATGCGTTATTGCAAGTCGACATGTGGATTTTGTCGTAAGTATTAATTACCTTGTTTAGACATACTTTCAAAAAACAAAATGATTTGTCCATTCACAGATATTTGGCCTTGCCTTACAAATAATCACAAAAAGTAATACACATTTTATTATTAATAGCATGCCGATCGGAAAGACCACTTGGGATGCAAAACAGAGCCATTCCTGATTCGAGCATCACCGCGTCATCGTATCTTGGCAAGGAATATAAACCACAACAAGGACGACTTCACATTAAGTCTGTAATTTCTTCCAGTGGCAAGGCTGGATCATGGATCCCAAAAGGGCAAAGAGCCGGAGACTGGCTCCAAGTCGATTTGGGCAAGGTTACCAGAGTTCAAGCTGTTGCAACCCAAGGTCGATACGATTACAACCAATGGGTGAGAAGCTACACCCTGCAATACAGCAGCAATGGAAAAACCTTCAAGAAATACCAGGGAGGAAAAGTGTTCAAGGGAAACAGTGACAGACACACCGTTGTCAAGCATAATCTATATCCCCCGATTTATGCCAGGTACATCAGGGTAGTAGTCAAGACATGGAAATGGTGGCCGTCAATGAGAATGGAGCTGTATGGGTGCAACAACTGAGGTAAAATAGCATTTTATCATTGGCCATTCCCTATTGATTATACATTCTAAAATAGTTTCACATTTTAATTTATATTTCAGTTCACCATACAGACCATCTAGGCCATAAATCCTGATGCCAACTATTGTAAACACATTAAAATAACGATAAACCAAGCAAAAACAATGTTATATCAAGGGATTTAAGTAACGCTAAAGATAATTATGTAAACTCAAACGATTAAAAGATTGAAAGCACTTCAAACAAGTTTCTTATTTCTTAGAAAAACTAATATCTATATTCGACTGTCGTTAGAGTGTGACACTGGACCACTACATGAAGTTCTGGACAACTTCTTATTTGCATGAAGTTCTACTGGAAGTATTACTATAAGTAAATATCGATGTGCTCCGTTATAACTGACATATACTTGCATTAGGCTTGCATTGTACACTTTTCATTCAACAAAAATGTTCGAATGGTGAATGCATTAGTACAAAACATTTAGTAGTAATAAGCACTATTTTTGTTTCACGGATTTAGTGAGTCTGCTCTTACTCCTGTATAAAAATAGTAAGTAATACCTAAATCTCTCTCAATCCAGTGCTGCTGGCATGGTCTTAGTTTCAAAATCTCCACACTTTTCGATAAAAGAGCTCAAACACATCGTTGCTTTTCCCCATATTTTTGCAATATCTCCAATATAATATCATATTTTTCTTGTTTTCGAAATATTAAATCAAAAACTTATCCTCTTTTCCTTCTTATTCCTAAAAGTGAGCCTCAAGACGCTTGAAAGTAAATTGGTTTTTATCTTACAAATCCATTTATCTCTCTCTCCTGTGGATTTTTTTCTTATGATTAAGTGTTCTAATATCATCAATTTGGAAGATAAATGTTTGAGGAAAAAATTTCGATGTTTCAACAAATATTTTGGCGCCTTTTGTTCTTTTCGCGTTAAGTATGGGTTTCCTGTGGTGGTACAGGAACGCCCGGAAGGAAGGACGGTAGAAAGGAAGGAAGGTAACGTGCGTACGCGCGGGAACCCTGTGTCGGTCCATGAAAACTCGATGGATATACCTTTTTTTCTTAGCTGTGGTGTTCCGCGGGAGCTCCGCTAAAAAACTTTGGAAGCATTTAGCGCATTAAACGCGAGATCTTTCTACACTTTTTCCTTAAGGAAAACAGAAAAGAATTGAATTCATTATAATGCACTAGAAAAATTCTCAATTGAATTATTATCATTGGTCACTTTGTTTGATAATTTTATAGTTTTGTATTTCGCCAAATATGAAGTCAGTACCCGCTGAGGCAGACTATAATAAATGCATGAATAATGAAATCTCTTGCTCTTTACTCCGACGAAGGATTAACGTCCGAAACGTCATTAACTGGGTGATTTGAGAAAATGTGACTAGCCAATCAGCGCAAAGCTGACAAGCTTATGTTGTAAACATAACCCCCCGACGGGAGGAATTTGCACAGCAAAACTCGACCCAGTGGAGTAGGCTGCCTGTCAAAGCTAAAACGCAAAGAGAAATTGAAATCTTTATAAAATAGCTTTTAGATGTCAATCAAATATTTATTGTTATAGAAATAGAATTTTATCTTAAAAATGAAATAACAAATATTTTTTTCTTTAATTCCAAGAGACTCCCCTCCCTGATAAAAATAATTAGTCTGTGTTCTACGCGGGTTCTCCATTGCATGCGAAGTAATGGCCGACTTCACGAAGACTTCAGAAGGTCGTTGAAGCGACGTTCAAGTCCAAAGTATCTTAGGAGGAACCATTGCAAATCCTTTTTCTTAGCTCTTGTTTCCTCTAAGCTTTGAGGTATATACAACATCACTGGAAGAGCTAGAGCAGCTTAGCTCCACGTATTCCAATAGAGTTAAAGCGTTGTTATTTTTGGTACAAACAACTGTCGTAGTTCATCCTTTGTCGCATTTTCGGCAATAAGCAACCTGAAGCATGCTCGACGATACAACGGGTTGAGACGTTATGTAACAGGTCGGTTACACATTTACTAGCTTTGACCTTACAATGAGAGCTAGAAGGTGACTGGGATTTTTCGTGTAATGTCTTGATAGCAACTGTTTATGTCGAAATGACTCAAAACAAAATTCCATCGTGAAAAAGGTTCGACTAAATAATTCCCATCTGAAAAACACGTGTGTATTTAAGGTGGAATATGTTTCATATGAGCATTCAATTCTTAAAGGTTTAATTCTATAATCATTTTGTTTAGTTATGTAAATAAATTTAACACGACTTGTACTGTTTATCTGAGTGAAAGGAGAGCTGCGGGTTTTCCCTTTCCTTTATTTACATTTTCAAATATGACCGCTTAACAAAAATGCACGGGCTCACTGGCTTACAACCTTGGCGAATTCATATGCAGGCCTGGTCGCAAATCAATCACCCAGAAGTTATTTCACATCCTTTTTTTACGGTGTTAAATTTATCTTTTTACACAATTGTAAAACAAGTAAAACTAACGTCATATAGTAATATTGATTTGCATGTTATTTTTGCATATTACTCGGAATCGAACAGATGCCGAATTTGTTTTCAACTATTCCAAAACGTTGTGCAATAGTTTGAAATTAATGATGATGTCCACCGCTTTTCTGGATCTCATCAATTTTTTGTGCATTTCCGTTGCATAGGTAACGTTAATGGAACTAAATATTATGTGAAACAAAACTTTGGTCCAAACACCAAATAAATCGGTGCATGGTAAGATATTTAAAACGAGAGGTATGGTGATGATGAACTTGATAAGTTCTTTATATCTGATATAGAACTGATTAATAAAACATCAGTACTTTATCGGATATAAAGGCCCATCATGTGACCCAATAGTTCGATGCTCATTGGACTAATAGCTCATGAATTATTAATGAGTTCTAGAA